AGTCTTTAAAATATTCTCCAAAGTGGTATCGCGTCCACGTTACACAGCAGATGCAAGCTCAGTATACTTGCGTTAGGATTCTGGCCGTGCTAAGTATTTATGCAATACAACATTTTTAAGTTTGCAATTGTTATAAAGTAGATATATATAAAGTAGATGTGAAATAATATATTTCACTATCTTAATGAAATTTTAAAAGTGAAGAAATTAATCGTTATTTTAGTGTGATTTGACAGTAAAGTCTTTTATAGTGATCATTTGTAATGATGTTTGAATATCCTCAATGATGGTACGGATTATTCTTCAAAAATCAATTTTTATAGGCAATATATACATGAAGTGAAATGAATCAATTTCTATAGGTTTGATAGAAGATATTATGACTAAATCTGAAACTTTGGATTTTTGAGGATGAAATTCATTGTGAAGGGGAAGATATTTCTAGAGAGTAAAAAGGGGCAAAACTAAGGCATCAAAAAATCGACCATGTTAATGGGAGTATATTGGACATTGACCTCCTAAATTAAAACGTTTAGTTGTGTGGTACGTGCTTTGCACGACAGGGACATTTGTTTGCTGGAAGTTGTAGTGCTGCGTTATTTCGCATTTCGTAAATAATCTGATTTCGCACTAGAACAGAGAAAATTACACACAAATTTTGTATTTACATGTAATTTTTTTAAAAAGTTGACGAAACTTGTATTTGGAGGATCAGTGAACAAAATTGACCAACAGCTTCAAGCTGTGAGCTTGAGATCTATCAAGCACGACCTTGAATATATCTGGTATCGTAAAGCTAAAAATTAGATAATAGGGATGGATCTTAATTAAAATCAATTAACAACCATTCAGCCATAGAAAACTGAGAAGTAAAAAGGTATGATTATTCTATACTTGGATAAGAAATATTGCTCAGTGCGGGGAGGAAAATAAAAAATAACAACCCCGTCAGATGAAACACTTTAGATGGATTATTACGTCATGCATTTTGTAGACTCCAAACTAATGTTTGAACTGTAGAATATCAGTCTAGTTAGTTTAGATACGCGCTGGATGCTCGCCACACTGAAACCAGAACAAGGTGATTATGTAAATGCAGGTTCTAGATTTCATTATAAACATAAATGAACATTATTACCTAAAAACATTACCATACAGTTCTTCAGCCGATAAATGTTCATTCTGTGTTTAAATCTAAATTATAATCAATAAACAAGTTGATAAAGGATGTAACGCAACAAATAAGTGTTTTTTATACTTTCTGGATAGATCACGTATAGATTCGTTCGAAAGATAACATTTGGTTGCGTTATAACACAGAGTTTTTAATTCTGGAAGAGTGCTTCAGTTCACAACAAGAAATGCACAATACCAGTGAATGCTTGCAACACAATCAAAGTGTAGAACAAATCAAGATAGAACCGTTCACGGTTTAAAATGGTCGATTGTGACAGGGGAAGAACGGAACTAGCCTTGCCGCATTAAATTCCCTGGGAGGGGTGCAGCCACGTACTAATTGAATGTGGCTCTCATGCACTGCACTTCGTGCGTCCCATACATCATATCGCTAAACGTACTTGCGACCTTAACAATCGAACAGCTTTTGTATAGAATGGCTGTGTTGTATTTAAGTTGAGGTTGCTTTTTACCCTGTGCTAATTGTTGTGTCCTTGAGTTAAAAACTAGAGAACAGCGTATTTATCGACCGATTCAATGACACGTGAACACGTACGAACGTAATGGACGACCTACAGTTACGATTGGTCCCGATTCCCTGTCTATCCCAGCCAGTTGAGTCCAGAACACAAATCTCAGCCTCTGAGTTATGAAACATTGTATTTCAGACATACTCTATTTATATACTAACCAAACATACCACATTGTACCATAAAAATAGAAAACAACATTCAACAAGTGGACAGATATCGACCAGTAGGAAATGTCCATTTAAAGTCCAAGGACACCATTGGACTTTACATGATAATTATTGGTCTATCCTTCGCATCCACAACAGGCTGAGACATGCTAGACAATGGAACGGCCTTCTTAGATGTGGTGGTTAGTTCTCAGTCAATCAGCCATGTTAGGAAGTTGCAGTTGGATGAAGTGGTTGTGTGTTATATCCTAACGAAGAATAAATGAAAGGCAAGTGCTAGGAATCATTCATGGAATAATATTACCTCTTGGAAAGCAACTAAGTATATATATATATATATATATCATTATAAGCTTTCATTTGACCTACTTACTACTATTATACGATTTACTATTCATAAGTTGTTTCCAACTTATTAGTTACAGTCTCTCATTTTAAGCTTGATCCTATATAGCTTAATTTACATTTTGTGGTATGATGCGGTTTTACTTGCTTATGTATAAACTGTGTATGTCTGAAATACGTTATTCATACAGCGAAAGCTGAGATTGTGTTCTGAACTCAACGAGTGGGACCGATAAGGACTCAGAGTTGACTTTAGGCTGCTCCTGCTGGTCAATCCGTCACTGGTTTGGCACAGGGACGAGGTCATATGGATCTGTATGCTGACTGGTGATTTTGTCAAGTGATAATTAACCGAACTAATGTCATAACAGTGTGTCTGAACGAAAACGACATGAATAATTTCTTTCTGAGCATCGAAAAATATTTTCGCACTTCTTCTTTTGTCGTTAGACCATCGCACTCATCTTAAAGCTCTTTTGCCACTTCACAATGCACTTTGTTCCACGAATAATATATTTCACTTCGCTATCTCAGTCAGCTATCAGACAGGCCGTGTTCAGAAACCTATCTTGGTAAAGAAACAGCTTGATATTTTTATCGACTACATACTGCTGCAGTCAACTTGGTTTATTTCGAGTGGTATGACAGGATTGAAATTAAAATTTATAGCGCTTGACTTGACTGTGTGGAAACTTCCAAGTTCAAACTCTTTTCGTTTGAATTTACAGACTCCCTTCTCTATAAGAATCACGAACTATTAGTTAAGTCTTTTATATACAATTTCTTCTGTAGCCCTCATGATGTCCAGGCAACTCGATTTTCATTGAAAATAACACATTCGCACTGGCTCACAGGCGTCAACATATGAATAATAGCTGGGCTGTTATGTACAAACATACGGTACCTGGTTTCTGTCTTTCGCAGATAGTACAAAGCTAATGCAAAATACGTCTGAAAATGGGTAGTACCAAATATATCCATTAGATTTCATTTAAAAGCCTATTGATCCGTGCAATCAAGACTTCCAATGGCAACTGTAACATTTATAAGAGCAACTACAGACTGACCACAAAGCAACAAGCTACAAGAGGGTTAGCGATTGCGTATTTATCATGACCACTTAACCCCGATTGACCGGTCTTGCAAGCACTACAAGGAAGGCACAGGCAAGTCGTCCCGATGTTCCCCCTGATCTCATCACCGATATTTTTGGGAACGCCAGTGTGTCCGAGCCTGGACAAAAACTTAATACAGCCATTCAAAGAGGAAGTAACACTGATACTCATAACCTGGCCGCAGACAACACAAGAATTACAAATATTCCGCACAACCTGCTTTACTGAAGGTTTTAGACTCAGGGGGCTGAACAAAGATAAAACGGTAAATAGTAATCCTGTATACGGGTTTACGAAATTACAGAATTTTGTATACTGTCTCGCGTTCAATCTGAAGCGTTTTATGTATTCAGCCTTGAGTTAAAATTGCACCAGCTACTGTTCCCATAGTATTAAGATACAGAAAACCCTCTCTCGTTAGTTTTGGGCTCGTTGTCCATGTTTTTGGTTTGAAACCTAAAGCCATCAACCCGTCAACTTGTATGGCAGGTCTTTTCAGATCTTTATTTTCGGAGAAGGCACTAAACAGTCGTCTTCTTAGATGTTCTGCAGCACATGATCTGAAAACTCTGTCGTTAAAGTGAACTATATAATGATCATTTAAACCCGAAACTATCCACATATCAATTACAAATATTTATTATTGAAGGTATTATCTAGTTATGTCCATAATAAATCTGTGTACATTTAGACTGAATATTGTACTGGGTTAATTCACTTCGATGTATAACAAGCAGAATAGATCTTTTATGCAGGGTGTATGGCGATATTTATATTTGGTAGATCGTGTTATATATGTGTTCATGAGCCAAATGGTCGTTTATATAGTAGAAAGTTGACACCTTGCTAATAGTTTGGGTTTAGTCAACGAATTGGAAAAAAGGCTAGCACACTGACTTAATTTACCTATATAGGATAATAAGATTCATATTTATTTTCATACGCTTTGTATTATGTACGTGTTCCATAATTTGCAGTCTAGCTTAGAGCTACGGTAGATCATCAATTTAGGTGTTCTACGTTGATTGTCGTGGTCTACTCGAGCTGGAAGAGAGTAATGCGACATTATGAAGGCGATTACTCGATGTTTATCGCATTTTGCGGTATTCACGCACTATTGCTGCTCAGACGGTTAAACAGCACACACATGACATTACTGAATGGTCGTATTAGTAAGAAAAGATTACAGCCCATTGCTGCATGGGCTAACCCTAACCCAGCCGACTGATGAACGTTGATTTATGCTAACCACGGCGGAGCTCAATAAACTATACGACATTCAGTGGTCTACCTGTCAGTTCACTGGTCGACGGGTTAGTGACAATCTACTGGTTCAACATAACACATCATACATAAAATGTTGACATTTTACCTCAGGTTCTTGGTTTAATTACTTAAACTTTTACGCAGCTGTATTATATCACACGGGAAAAGATATGTCAAAAAAGCGCCGATGCACCTCAGTGAGTGGCATATTGTGACGTAAAAACTTACTTAAATATGGAGTATTGTGCTCTGTTTCAAGAACTGTTGTTTTCGATTATTTTTGTCGACGATCTACAAAATCTTGCTAGGCAGAGTCATCTGTTCTGTTCACAATTGTTTGTCTTTCTTATAATTTTCCATTCGCATAGCAACGTTCCAAATTATATCGTTTGACATTTTGAAATTCAAGGTCTTAATATGAGCAGTCCATGTATAAAGAATAGTCAAAACAGAGAGAGTGATTTAGACAGAAGAATAAGAGAAAAGGAAGAAAACAAGAGATATGTTCTATCAAAAAATGAAGAATCTATTAAAGAACGGGAAAAATTGGGATTTCCACCAAAGTATCCAACATTGATGACATTAGAAGATTCCACAAATATATCCAATCTTGCGTCAGCGTCTTCACTCAACCGATTTGAAGAAATAAGGGGCATGGACAGACAGAAGCCTCAAAATATGTCTCCGGGGGTAGTTTGTAATGCTTATGCAAAAATGTTTTATTATAAGGACATTAGTGCATTTAGAGAAGGTTCAAACATGGCACCTCCGGAGACCTTGAATAAACCATTACCAATGCATGATAAATTCATTAGTGACCAAGTAGTTCGAGGAAGGTTTGCCGGTAAAATTGTGGTTTTTGACGTTCTATAACCTCTTAAGCAAGCCTAAAAAGTGAAAACTATCAGTCCAAACAGCCATTAAGGACTTCAATATTTCCACAACTTGTAAGTTTTCCATAAGCCACGCTATTTTATTCTTCAAAATATTTGGCAGGATGTGTTAAATACCAGACGTTTAACTGCAGATGACAAAAATGCACAAAATTACCTGTATACATCAAGTTATCAAGCGTAATTTCATTTTTAGTACATTGTATTGCGTTTATATCAGAGCATATGGAAACCGATCGAGTTTTTATGGAAATGCGTGCCGACGTTTATACCCGATAAAAAGTTTCGAGGCTGTTGCAGACCCAATTAGAGGTCTTATGGATAGTGATTCATATTACCCTGCTACCAAGTCATGGATAGTAAGTTCTTTTCATCTATCGTACTAATTTCTAGTGAAACGCACCCTATTATTTTAAATATGTAATCACATCCAAAAACCAACTGACTGGATCATCGCCTACGCCTTTGGAGATTGAGCGAATCAACCAACCATAATTTTTCAATAATCCCCTGTAGTTTAAATGTGATTATTAGTGGTTGCGTTTAAATGTAGTCGCGATCAACTAACTTAGTGCTTAAGACTGTTTTCATGGTTCACTAACAGTATAATATATCTTGAAATAATGTCTTTAGGCAAGCTTCATGAACATGTAATCAACAGTAGGGCTTCAATGTTCATAGTATGTCATTTGTAGACACCACAGAACAAGACCGTGTTACGGCCGTGATATCATGTATTTTTTAATCTTTCTCAAAATGTATTGCTTTGAGCATCTTGAATGATGCACATCATATTTACACTACAGGTCAGTTCTTTTATGTATTCCACCAAAATCTTATGGTAGTTTTTACAGAGTACTGGGATAAGCTGGGAAACTATTGGTTACCGAAAATGATTAACATCTGCTTCATCATGCTTCCAAATCCAGATTTGCATGAAACATCATACTAGTTGTTAAATGAGTTACTTCAATGCTCATTATCGTCACTTGAGTTGCAGTTCGTTTATATGGCTAGTATGACTGATTTAGATTCTAGAGTTACAGTCATTTTTAGATTGGTTTCTTAATATTATAATTTAAAGGTTTGATTTCGACCATGAATTAGTACATGTACTGGGTTTTCCCTTAGTTTGTTTGCGAAGATAATATGAAGAAAATTCCTATATTTTTGTACTCAAGTGTGGCATCATGATCGGATTCTTTGAAACAGTGTTTCCATTTAAACCGAAACATGTGCTTAGTCATTGTTAATCGATAACATACTCCGCTTATTGATTTAAGATTGTGTGTCAGATTTATTCTCTCCTTTGGAAGGAGCAAGAACAACAATGTGAGCATGATGACATAAATTAATTTTATTTCGTTAGATTATCTATTGTCTCTGATAAAACTGTGAAACTCCTGAACCCCAAATAGGCGATGTTGGGTTCGGATTCGTACTTAAGATGTGGTAGGTTAAATAGTTAAACTGTTGAAGGTGCAATCAAATCACAAGCATTCAAGTTTCGAAATAGTGAAAAATCATAACACACTTGGATATTTTTATCACATAAAAATAATTGCTCCAGCAATTTGAATGATTGATAAAGGACAACATCCTATTTCTACTGACACTCTTACAAAACAGCCCCTGTGGGCAGTGTTGTCTGCATTTTGGTACCTTCTAAAACTGATTACTTTTGCATGCAAAGTGAGTGTGTTTTGCTACAGGAGCGAAAAAATAAAAACAACCGAGAAAGGTCCATTTCACATCCAAAATTTAAATTAAAAATAATACCTCAGTACACTTATATATTCAAAAATTTACTTTGCATTAATTAATGGATAAAGTGAAACGGTTATAGCTCAAACTAATATCAACCTGAGTAAACTCAACGTTAAATTATTTCCATAATCTCACAGTTGATTTTTTCATAATTCTAATGTGAAATGCAACTCGTTTGTTTAAAGTAGTTTGACCATAATAAACCAAGCACTTACCGACTGATTTAATCCCATAATGTATAGCTCTGAATATCTTTTATCTGTCTTACATAATATTTATTCATATGTAATCAAGGGATATCATTAAAATGTTTTAAGTCAGAGTGATATTACAAAATGACAGTCGCAATTACCAAATCGATGATTTTTGCAATATGAACAAATATTGCCTCAGACAACTAATAGGTTTTCAGTATAGTATAGGCAAAAATAAATAGTGGCTGGTAGTGGAATCAAGGACGCGCGTTTCGTCCTATTTGAGGCTCGTTAGCCGGGTGTACTGGCACCTCAGGGTTGATGTCCACTCTGGGACCCGAACCCAGTACCGTTCGCCTCAAACTCCAGCGCGTTATCCACTTAGCTGCTAAGTCGTGATAGCCACCTGCGTGTGCAATGGGGTGAAGTTATATTCGCTTGATATTGTTTACTTGTATCTTCCTATTGTTATTTAGGACTGCAATTGATCAGTCTCATGTTGGCATATGTGCATTCTGTGTGGACTGTCTCGATATAGCCTTAAGTCACAAGCTTTATAAGCAAAGAGACTGGTCAATCGCAGTCCTAAATAACAATGGGAAGATACAAGTAAACAACACCAAGTGAATATTTTCAGTATATTGTCTAGCTGAAGAAGTAGGTAGGTTGTTGAAATAAATTTTTTATTCAGATACTGCAAACCAATTCAAAATAAAACAAATAGACTTTACGGTTTTCTCGAAAAATATCAAACTATTTTTAGCCATTTCTCAAAAATATTTATTTACCACCTAAACCTACAGCCGGAACTATTCAATCCAGTTCAATATGATCAAAAACAAGCAAGATATCTTCATATAAAAGAAGACAGACCATATGAATTGTAAGTTAGTTGTTACTTTCTATTTTATACAATGGCCAAACAATCACTACATTTATGGCGTTTATCCTACCTCAACTGTAAATAAGCTACTCTACGTAGGTGGCCACCCCTAATATTGGGCTGTGATAGCTGAAAATGATGTATAAGGTAGTAGTAAAAGCTATACAAGTAAATTCTCTGGCTCAGACTGTGTACATGATAATTACACACGTCATCAACGAAAAAATTAATCAGGGAATTTGAAATACCGATAAGCTTATTTGCTTCTCCATCCTTAAGAATAAAAGCGGCCCAATGAAAGCGTAAAAGGTTCTTATGAACACAATCAACTGAATAGATTAGCAAATTACAAACTGAATAATAAGTAATACTATGAATTGAGTAATAGCAAAAAAAAGCAAATCACTTATAAATATAGCAAAATGTTTAAATTACTTATGCCTGTTAACCCTCATGGAGGAGTATAGGCCGCTCACCAACATTCTCTATCCAACCCTGTCCTCAACAATCTCTTCCAGTTGCTATTCATCCTTTTCATGTGTACTTTCAGTTATTGACACCGTGTGTTCTTCTGTCTTCCACTTTTATGTTTCCCTTCAGAATCCCAAGTTAGTGTTTGTCATATGATGCAGTTTGATGACCTCTTCAATATATGTCATATCCATTTCCATCATGTTTCCTAATTTTCTCTTCACCTAGAAATTGGTTCATTCTCCCACATAGTAGGCTATTGCTGATGGTATCAGGTCAGCGAACATTCAGTATCTTGTGAAGACAACTATCTATAAATACTTGTATATGTCTGACGATGGTTGTGGTAGTTCTCCACGTTTTAGCTTCATACAGAAGAACTCTCTTGACATTCTTAGTGAAGATTCTCACTTTAGTAATGGTTGGCAGTTGTTTTGAGTTCTATACGTTGTTCAGTTGTAGGAATGCTGTCCTTGTTTTGCCGATCCTCGCCTTTACGTCTGCATCAAATTCTTCTTGTTCCTCGGTGACGCTTCTCAGGTACGTGAAAGTTTCCACCTCTTTCCGAGCTTCTTTATCAAGTGTGACTTGGTTGATGTTCTCTGTGTTTAACTTGAGGATCGTGCTTTTTCTTTTGTTATATTTTAGACTACTGATGCGAAGGCTGCTGATAGACTAGTTGTCTTCATCTGCATTCGTTGATGTGTATGAGATAGAAGGACCAGGTCATATGCGAGGTCCAAATCGTCTAATTGATTCCGAGATGTTCGTCGCATTCCGTGCTTCCCCTCAGATGTCGAGCCCTTCATAATCCGATCAACTATCAAAAGAGAGAGGAAGGGTGAGAGAAGTCAGCCTTGTCTGACTCCGGTCCCCACTTGAGATACGTCTGTCAGCTGTCCTCCATGTACAACATTACATTGTAGCCCGTCGTATCAATTCTGGATGATGTTGACGATCTCCTCAGGTATACCATAGTGTTGAAGAAATTTCCATAATATTCTCCTTTCCACACCGACAAATGCTTTCTCATGATCATGAGAAAGCATTTGTCGGTGTGGAAAGGAGAACAGGGTTGGATAGAGAATGTTGGTGAGCGGCCTATACTCCTCCATGAGGGTTAACAGGCATAAGTAAGTAAATATGTAAGATGTAACGAAAAAGTATAATGTATGATTTTACTACTCTACGATATATAACGATAACAGATTAGAATGACTACTCAGTCGGCACACTAGGAATTAAGTGAATTACGTCATACGGCGGTACACGATTTTTGACTTTAGATTTGAACCAAACAATAAATCAGAAAATGAAGGATTAAGTACAACAGAAATAGTTTACACACAATGGAACTCAAAATAGAAATCAATAACAGAATGACATTCACAACATTAACAGTATTTCAACCTTAAGCAAAGATTATTATCTAATTTCATTTGCTGAATGGAAATTTACAGTCTATATCACACAACATACTACTATTTCTTTCAGTGCTGTAGTTAGAGGTGTTTAGTGTTCCATTTAGTTTCTGTGTAAATATGCATTATCATATCTTAAGAACTGTCTTAAAGATATGTAAACGTGTTTTGTGTTCCTGATCCTAACGAAATTCGTGTTTTCATAAAGTTCATCAGCATACTAAGGTAAAATCATATTTGATTGAGATCATGAACAGATTGATGTTAGATCACCATTGAAAACATGGAAGTACTGGACGGCCGTTTCGTCCTATTGTGGGACTCCTCAGTAGTGCGCATCCACCATCTTGCCCGCAGGATTCGAACTCAGGGCCCTCAGTCTCATATGAGAACGCTTAACCTACCGAACCGTCCAGTGCTTCAAGATTTCCAAAATTGGTCTAACATCAATCAGTTCATGATTTCAATAAAAAACCTAATAATATCCACAACCCCTATACTAAAAATCGTATTTATAAATCTCCGTAAAATGAATTAAAACAAGACTAGCTAGTGATCAACTAATACATATCATCGCACTCTGTTATTAAGAAAACTCAACAACATATTGAATAATTCTAGGTAGATCAATTTTTTTACAGGGTTCAGATCATAATATAACAGTATTAATTGTATAATGTTGCTTTAATTAACTAAACGATTTCTAATGAGTCTGATGATAATTTTAGTTCTGACTACCTTAAAAACAAACTTTTGAGATCATGACAGAAAGTTGTGATTTGTGAAATGAATCAAATCATCCTCGATATTAACATTACAGTGAAAATAGTATTATAGTGAAAGTTATATTGAAGTGAAAAGCTTTGATTATTTGAATAATCAAAGGTACAATATACTTTCTGTAAGAAGTTAAATTCATTGGATTCTTTTATTTTGATTAACATCTCTTGAATAATATCAACAAGGTAATAAGAATAAACTTTAAATGCCTTATCATAATACTCTATAATTTCATACATTTAATATTTTACTCATGTTCATTTGCTTATATCACAGTTGTTCTTATAATTCACGAATTAATCAAATTCCTGGTTACAGGTAAGTCGATTATAAATAATTTCCAAATGAATTTTGTAGAGATTGTATTGAATACTGAGAAAACATTCTACTTAGAACAGTTGTGCTGTTATTTATTTTTAAAAGAAATCCACACCCTCCTCCCATTTATTAGTATTTTTATTTGTCTCATAATAAAACATACATAAATTACATGTAAATGAATAAAGCACTGGATGGCCCTTTCGTCCTAGTATGGGACTCCTCATCAGCGAAAGGGCATTGTCCATGTGACATAAGAAAGGTTTCGGGTGTAAACAAAGAACTTACAAATTATCATGGGAGCATCAGGATCAAAGTAAACTAAAGTATCAAACTTATCGTTTCTGAATGCAAAGAGCAGGCTTGAAGCAATGAATTGTCAAAGCGTCAGCTATGTATAAACTTCCCTTACAACTATTTCATTTCGGTTTATGAATAATTCTGAGGTAATTTTCTGGTGGAGATAAATGACCAAAACTGAACAGATGTATAATGTTTCGAATTATTTGAATTATAGTACGAACTAAGAGTCCCAGAAATAACGCAATTGAATCAATAAGTACTAGATGAGCACAAACGAATGTATTGTATTTATAATTCGAAATAAAGCATTCAACAAGTACAAAAGAATCATTAGCTAATTCAAACACCACAAGATGTTCAGCAATCGAACAGTTCACCTGATTTATACCCACTTTTTGATGGTCATGGCTGATAGTGTTTTGATAAGAGTTTGGAAAAAAGCATGCTTGTCCAGTCAGTATGACATGCTCTACATAAGAAAGTAAACAGGTTCTACACATTGAAATGATCCAACGCGGCAATTTATCCTTAGCACATCCTTGAACCAGGCAACTACTATAAAATACAAATCGTATCTCGGGTGAGTTAGTTTTCCTTAAGGATTTCCAAAAATGGTCTATTCAGATCTCTTCATCCATATCCCCTTAGAATTCAGTGTACATGAACAAAGTCTTCGCTGACAACAAAATTTTCTTTGCCGAAGCGTTCTCATCCTTTTTTATCATACCATATAATCAACTTTATCTCACACTACAGAAATACATTTCAAATGACGGTTGATGATCGAGAACATGGACTGATTGTTAGTATCTAGGGCATGTATTGTATACAATGGAATCAGTGGGTGATTGACGTTGATGTTATTATATTTGTTTAACTTCAGCAAATCCCGTATCATATACTGAATTTTCCTTTGATTGTGAAATATACCATTATCATTACTACGTATTTAGCTGCTCTGAAAAATAATAAGTTTCATGTTTACGCTATGATAAATATTTTTCAGTTAGATGCCCCTAATAATTGACTGAACAGAATGTTACTGTTACGAAATCTGTATACCTATGTGAGAGAAAAGTAATTCATTCATGTATAATTATGTTTACTAGCCTACTTCTTTTTTTTATTATCCTGTTCACCCATGACTTCACCATTATAGTGGATCGTTTTGTACGGGCGAAAAACGTATCGATTTAGATAACCCGTACCATAAATACAAATCATTGAATTTAGTCCGTCAAGATATTCCTCATGAATATGTATTTGATCTGTAAGTAGCTTAGAATTCATATTTTTCAAGCACCATTTAATTTAAAACTCTTTTTTTGTTGTTGTGAATTGATTATATGATCTGTGTTTATCATTCGATACACATTTGAGTATAATTATTGTATCACAACAATATAACACAGTAAATAACTGGCCAGAAGACTAAAATTGTAATTAATTTCCATTGATATGGTTTTCAGTATTTTTAAAGGTAGTTTTTCAAATTAAAAAAAGGTCATTGTTAAAAAACAGTCTGGATAAAAATTAAATAATTCTCCATATATCTTTGTCTTATCACTCAGTTAAACACAACTAATGGTAGTATTCGTTATATTCTAGGTGCTCTCGACCAACAGTTTATTGGAACTTGAGTTAAACATTTAAGTAAAAACAATCTACAATTATAAAACTAATCAATCTAAGTTGTTTATGATGGTTTGAATTTTGAAATCAGGTTGTATAAGTGGTTACTTACTTTATTCGCATGTGATCACATTCTGGTAACTGATGTTGTCTACACAATAAACGGACAAATTAATTTAGATATAATATATTTCATAACTAAACAATAGTTTAATTTAATCTTTGTCGATTTCGTAGTGACAATTATATTCACTTCCTATTTTTTGTTATTAACGGATGTTTTATATTTACAAGGATTTGTACTATCTCGTTGCTGATGTTCAAGATTTAATTTTGACCAACTTTTTTTAATATCCTGAGTAGATTTCCCCATATCGCCTATTTGTCATGGATTTGAGTATATTTGGATTGTGACTAGTATTGGAATCCGGGATGCACGTTCCATTCTATTTGTTTCACCAATTGACTGTACCTAAATATTCACGTTAACTATCACAATAAGATAATCAATAATTATTGCTTCGAAGGCTAAAATATAATCCCGTAAGCCACCAAATACTAATCGCTAATAACTTGAACATGGTATTTTATAATGTTGATAGGTTTAATAAAAATCTTTCGGAATAGTAATTAAGCAGTTAGCGTTAATCAATGTGATCATATCATCTGCAAAGGTTTTAATGTAGAACGTTTATTACTTGTTAATAAAATTATGGGCCACTGATGATTAAAAATTTTGTTTGAATGTTCATTTTCTTGAAAATGATGAACTATAAACATGCAAACTAACCTCTAAATAATTTTAAATAAAGTGAATTGCCAGCTTTTTTGATGACTTTTTCTTAAGGCAAACAAAATATAAAGTTCAGGTTATATAATACGTTATAGGTTACATGCCTTATTATATGTAGTGTTTTCTGGATAACCGAAGGTAAAAATCCAGGATAAATCAATAATCCAGTGCCCCGTGGTTTCCTAAAAGTTTTCTGTTTTCTTGTGAAGGAATCATTTTTTAGGAACAAATAATATTACTCTAGAAATGGAAAATATTATTCATAATCAAGACTTTATAACGTTGATAAATGTATGTAATTCATATATTTGTGATGAAGTGATACCACATGAGACACATAGTCCCACCTAATATCAAAAATATTAAGTACATTTTAATATTTAATATACTAGATGAGTGGTCATGCTGTAACATGATCAAAAAGAATACGGCCATCGTTCAGACCTATACAGTACGACATATATTGTTACCAAGATACTAATAAAACTCATTTTTTTATACTATGACAACATAAAGCCAGGAAAACTTTAGTTTTCATCATCCACACATTTTTAAATGACCTTTTTCTTAAATATTTTGTTTCTAGCAATTTAAATATGCCAGGATATAGTGGTTATCAAAGGAAGGAAATGAGAAACCATGATTCAACATCAACAGTATCAGTCTGTTGAAAAAAGATATTTATCAAGAAATTTTGTTTAAATAAGTATAAATGTACAAAACTCATAATTTACAAAAGATAAATGTTATAATAATTTAAACAATTTGTTAATTTTATTTAACTACTATGCAACCTTCTATATAGAAACTTCTAACTTTTGTATTTATTATAAAAAGCACTTTTTAGAATAATAGGAAATTACTCAACAATATCACCTTATTAAATATGGTTCAAAAATAGTGCAAACAGTAGAAAGATATTCTTTTCTTACCAATATAATGTTTTTAGCTTTTTCTTAACATGCAAGCTTTTATTATATAAGCCTAGATTAAGTAATATATGTAAAAATAGTTAAATATGATTAGTTTTGATTTATATTGAGAAATTTTTCTTAGTTCTTAAAATACATCATGAGTAAAGTTTATTAACACAGATGTAACAGAAATAATTTGTGCATTTTTCATTATATTATTAACTTTGTCTACCACATAATCATGAAACGTTAAGCTATGACTTTCAATGATAATGACGTGTGTGAACAAGGTGGACTAACATTTTTCACGAGAAATGTCGCACCCATCACTGTTCCAAAGTGCTTGTCATATGAAGGTGAGATATATGAGATGGTGATAGTTATCAAGCGGCATAGAACTCTGTTTTTAGGGTTGGGACTAACTGTTCAATATTTCAAAACAAACTTGTGGTGTTTGAACGAACTAATGATACGATTGTACTGGTTGATTGTACGATTTCGAATTCCAAATACAGTACATTCGGTTGTGCCTGTGTCTTCTTAATTCAATTGCGTTATTTCTAGGACTCTTAGTTAGTGCTATAATTCCAATAAGTCGAAACATAATACTGGCGTCGTGATGGAACCTGCAATGGAAAAGTTGGACATTCATTCATCTTCGGAAGCATTTGAGGATTATTTGGAAAGGTTTGAAATCTGGAGCATGACTAAGAAAGATGTCAAAGATGATAAAATTGTGGCACATTTCCTGACATTCATTGGGAGAGAAGCTTACAGCTTATTAAAAACTTTGGCATATCCAGAAAAACCTATCTCACTTCCTTATGCAACTCTGAAAGAGCTATTATTAAATCATGTAAAATGCACCAGTTTCGAATGCCGTGAAAGGGCGAAATTTCATTAGATGGTTCGTCAAAATGATCAAAAAGTTCGGGAATTCATCCTTGAATTGCAGAAACAAGCTGCCAAGTGTAATTTCGGTGATCAACTTCATGTACAACTTAGAGATCGATTAATTGCAGGAATCAACATACCGAGTTTGGAAAGAGAGCTGTTAAGAATGCCAAACTGTTCCTTTCAAGATGCTAGAACTGCGTGTATTAACTATGAAGCAGTAAATGAACTTGATATCCAGTCAATGAAGATTTCTAATACTTTGCTTAGTTGTCCTGATGAACTACAATCTCAGGGTCAATCGAACTTGCGTTCATTTAACGGTGAATCCTATTCTCGTGTAAATATGAAAGGTGTTTCAACATGGAATTACAAAGCAAATCACAAAGATGAGATGAAGTTTGGTAAATGTTTATCATGTGGAAAGTTTCATCCTCGTAATTCATGTGCATTTCGTAATGCTAAATGTTTTAAATGTGGTAAGATAGGACACATTCAGTCAGTTTGCAAAGCTACTGTCCATTTTGCTTCAAGTAGTACTAAATCCTGTCATTTAAATCTCAATAATTCGGATGTTTCTAGCGATCATTTATCTTTATCTACTATTTCGAAAGGTAATGCTCATATTCAAAAGCGACTATATACATCGCTTGGTTCATTTCATGACTTTATTGTGGACACAGGCAGTATAGAGTCCATTATTTCATTCAAGAACTTGAAATTCTTAGATCCTAACGTTGTAGTACGACCCACTGAAGTATCAATATTGGGGATTACTGGACACAGACTGCCCATACGAGGATGCTGTGAATTGCTAATAAGAGATGATAATTCTTCAAATGGTTGTGGACGGAATAGAAGAAGCTTTCGCTTAACAGGCTTCCGTGTCTAGTAGCAGGGGATCACCAAATCCTCCAGGCAGGAACCTAGGTCTGTTAACAATAAAAGAGGAAAAGAAATTAGTAAATCATAGTGTGATACTGTCCTTGGTCCTTAAGAATAGGTCAAGTTGCCTCTTGAAGGACTCCTGAGAAGTCGCTTGGACTAGCTCGGCCGGCAGCGAATTCCAGCTTTTGACAACTCTTAAGTAGTAGAAGTTGTGTCTACATCCCGTCTTGCTATGTTGAGTTTCCCGTTTCTGGGTGTTACCCCTTAGGTTAGTATTCGAACTAAGCTTGAGTAGGTGTTTAAGAGGATGTCCAAAATTGTTAAGAATACTATAAGTCATTAATAAATCACCTCTAAGACGCCTATACTCTAGTGGGTAAAGGTCTAGTGAATGGAGGCGTTCTTCGTAAGACTTAGATTTGAGTCCGCGAACTGATTTCGTGGCTCGCCGTTGGATACGCTCCAAAGTGACCTTGTCCTTTTGGAGTGAGGGGGGAGTACTATATTTCCGTACTCTAAATGGGGACGGATAAAACTCTTGAAGATTATATGGAAAGTTCTTCCGTCAAACTGGCCGAAAATGCGCTTCAATGTTACCAGTGCAAGGTTTGCTCGGAAGGCATTTTTGTCACAGTTAGCGTAAGACTTTAAATCGTAGGGCACCAAGACTCCTAAATCTTTTTCGACTTGGGATACTACTAGAGAGGAGTTTCCTAAGTTATAACTGTAGTCTGCGACATGTCGCAGATGGACTACTTTACACTTTGAAGTGTTAAAGGTAAGTCCGTTATCGTCTGCCCAACTTTGAAGTCGAGTAAGATCCACCTGAAGTGTCGTCGTCTTGGTTGCGTATCTCTCTCCAAAGTTTCACGTCATCGGCAAAAAGTAATAAGTCTGACGTTACCTGTTGAAGAAGACCGTTTATGTAGATCAAGAAAAGGAGAGGCCCTAATACTGAGCCCTGGGGGACTCCACTAGGACATTCCATAGCCTGAGATAAAGTGAAATTAACCCTAACATTAAAGTGTCGATTTTCTAGGTATGAAGTAAGCCAATCGTTTAGAGGTGGTTTGATACCTAGTCGTTTGAGCTTATTGATAAGACACAAGTGGTTAACTTTATCAAAAGCTTTTGAGAAGTCAAGGTATATGATATCAGCCTTTCCCTTGCGATCGAGGATGCTTGTCCATCTGTCCACCGCAGTCAGCAGGTTGGTTATACAAGAGTAACCCTTCCTGAAACCATGCTGTTGGGGTGAGAAGAAGTTTAAGGACAGTAGATAATCGTTTAAACCATCGCATATCAGGGACTCCATGAGTTTTGAAGGTAATGACAGAAGAGCCACCGGCCGATAACTTGAAGGTTCATTACGTCGACCTCCTTTGGAAATAGGTGTGATGTGAGCCAACTTCCAATTTTCCGGTAGTTTTCCTCGGCTTAGCGAGTGTGAAAACATCACGCTAAGCGGCGTTGCCAGGATTAAGGCTGCCTCCCTCAGTATGGCAGAATGAACCATATCCGGGCCAGGAGAAGTATCTAGTCTTAAGTGCTGCAGTTTCCGGAACACCAAGTCAGCGCTTAGGTCCACTTTGGAAAGCCCTGTGGAATTGCAAGTGAAACTGTCGTCAATAGAGTTGATGTCAGCCGGCTGAAATGTTCGAGAGTAATGTGCTACCAGAAGGTTAGCGGCGTCACCATCGTTGTTGGTCGGGCCATTAAGACCTAGCAGTTGAGAAACTTCTGTTTTGGCTTGACGAAGAGAGGCTGCATAACGGAATAGGCTTCTAGGGTTAGAGGCACATTTGTCCATAAGCTTTGTCTGATAATGAAGCCTGTCTTCTCTTATAGCCTTCGTGCATATGTTCCTGATATGTTTAAATTGCCTATACGCTCCGTCGTTGTCAGTTCGTTTGTATTCCGCCCAACAGTGCCTTTTACGACTTAGCAGGCGAAGGGTACGGTTCTTGATTATTGTAGGTGGCTTACAGCTTTTGGGAACCGTTTGAGGAACTGAATGGTTTGTAGCACATAAGAGCGTGTGCAGTAAGAAGTTCCAATGACCGTATACATCGAGTTGGGGGTAAACATCCTAAACCACCTGTTGTAGATATTCATGTAGAGCTGGCACACTCAACCGTTTAAAATTCCAACGCAAGTTATTGGTGGGGTACCTTGGCTTAGTTTTGGTGACAAAACTGAAGGCTATGACGGCATGATCGCTCTTTCCCAGAGGAGCCAGGATTAAGAGGTTGTGTGAAACCGAGACGGGTGGAGCGGGATAGTCCATCCAGCATACGACTATCGTACCCGATGTCAGCAGTTGGCTTCCTGTAAATGACTCCCACTAGACACCTCGAAGTGCTAGACAATCTTACAGAGCACCATATGGATTCCTCAAGATTGTTAAACTCGAGGTTGTGAGCTTGGTGCACCTCCGAGCAAGAGCTTATGTATATGGCTACTCCGCCCCCGATTCTTGTTATTCTGTCGTTACGGAACAAAGTCATTCCAGGTAATGCTAACTCTTGGTTCGAGAACTGAGAAGATATCCAGGTTTCAGATATTCCTATCAGGTGGGCCTTATTAGCGTTGCAAAGTTCACGTAATTCATCCAGTTTGTTTGGTAGACTCGAGGCGTTCGTGTATAAGCAGTTTATGCTTTCAATTTGAAACGCGTGAGCTTCGTCCTGTTTTTCTATATGAGCCTTATGTGAATGGACAGGTAGCCCACCTATGTGAGGTTTACCGAGGTGGTAGGCCCTGTCCTTTACACGTTTTTTTATCATTTAGACAGTCCACAAGTGGAATGGTCAGCTCCAACTTGCCTTTGTGCTTGGTCCTGGCTTCATATGACCTATCCAGGTGCATGTGGATTCCAGGTGGCATTCGACGTCTGTTGGCACGAAATGCTTCCAGAACTGCAGCCGCCATGTGGGAAGATGGGAAGGTTATCTTCATTAGACGGAGTCTAAGATCACCGTCCTTCTTGGCTAATCTCGTCACATGCTGAGTCAGTATGTGTTTGAGCCTCAAGGACTGTTTGATGAATTTCTATTCCCTGATGTCAGAATTTGATTCAGTACGGTCTGCATTTTCCGGTATACCTTGCACAATTATGTTTCTTCCACGGAAAAACTCGCGAGATTCTTTAGGGATATTTCGTATGATATTGCGATAAGAGTACGGTATGTCGGGCAATATTCCTACGTTACCATCTGATTTCAGCAAGTGACTTGCTAGGAAGACGTCCTTTAAGTCGGTAGCATTCTTAAGTGTTACTCGGAGAAGCCTTGGGTGATTTAGATGCTTAGAGTTCTTTCCTCGAGTGAGCCGGGTGACCATCAAAGGCTCTATTCTGGAAGTTCGAGCTTCTTGTTCAATTCACCCCAGAGCATCCTGTCGTTTTTGTCCTGCAGACTGAGAGGATGGTCAGGATTGTCAACGAGGTTCATGATAACGAGAGAATCGTCACGAACTGTTGTTAATTTACCAGGTTTCACGATGGTTTTATGTTTAATAACTTGCTGTTTGGAGGTCAGTGTGCGTTTTTGAGGCTTGGGCTCTTTATTGACCGGACGAACAGTCTTGGGAGTAGACTGTGCGACCAAATCACCAGTTAATTTCCGTACAGCAACACTTGGGTTGCTCGGCTTAGGCGGTGATGTCTGGTTCTTTTGGGCTCTCTTAACGTGGGTCGAATCACCTACAGGGTTTTTGGGAACCACTGTTGTGTTCAGGGACCCTGAGCTGGGGGACCCGAGTTTGCTTAGGGAGTCTAATACCGTCGGCGTAATGATGGTGCTGAGCCTCGACACGTCATCATTAGTGTTGATGGATGCTCCATCGATGGTATACTTATCGACATCCCTATTATTGTATCCGTCGTACGCTCTTTTTTGTCTACCGGTTTTTTACTATCGTTGACCGAGTTAACTGACAACTTGTTCCAAAGACCTGTCAGTAGGACAATGATGTTACTCAGCAAGACTACAGCGTCCGTGCTGCACGTGACACACACCCATTTTGGTCTGACTTGCTGAGTCTGTTGTAAGCAATTGATGTCAGATCTGTGCACGCTTTGTGGAACCAATCTTTGCATTTGTCGCACTGCATGCCAGTTGCAACAGCAAAACGGCATCCCGGACGTCTGCATGGGTTTTTCATGACTATGTTGAAGCAAACTATGTTATAGATGCTTGCAAAAGCCTAAAAAACACTACAAAGCACACTGAAAACAGACAAAAATGGATAAAACGAGTGATATAAACTGAAACTAGTCTATACGTGAAAAACAAAAAAAAATCGAATAGTAAGCTGAGGCAAAACCACAGTTAACTATTAAATTGGGTGAAACTCAAAAAAAGTAATCTACCGATCGTATAGCTCAGGATAGATTCTTTAGAAGTGAAATGGTACTTTTGTTGCTTAAGAACACAGCAAAAGTTTGATAAATGCAAATCACGTCAGTACTAAACTTCCCGTTCGAAAAGCGCTTGTTGGGAATATTTGTATTGATTCTCAGATGTCAAACCCTTTAGTATTAACTGTCTCTTTCATTGTTTAGCGCGCTACTTTGCGTTAAAGAAACTTCTGACTGTATAGCACAGGCCGAACCGTTTGAGGTATTCTGTATTTTTGATGTAATTTACTCTGTTTTCTTAATTAAAACCGTTTATATTTAGCACAGAGTTCGTTTTTTCATATAATATAATACGAGTATCTCAAAAACGCGTTGTGAGTTATACAGAGGAACGTGATCTGGTCTATACAAATAAAATTTGGGTTCGTCAGTCCGTTGTTCCAACCGAATATTGGCTGTTCGGTCGTTACAGTAATATTTTTTAGAAAAACGATTTGAATATGCTTATATATTTTTATTTTTATTTAAAAAAACATTATAAAAATCCTGTTTTAACGATATTTCGTGTATATGAGTTTATTTTCCACATTTTTCGTCGGCATTGTGTTTTTACGCGCGTACGAGGGTATTTCGACATGCACTTA